CTGGTTGCAAGTTGATAATAAACAAACATATAACTATCTTGTTGATGCATCAATTAAAATCATAAAATATTTGAATGGTTCACATGGGGAGTGTATTGGTCCACAAATATCACCTTGTATCCATTCTAAAAATAAGATAGATTCATTCCCAATTTTGGCTGGTGATGGTCTAATTATTAACTTCCCTTGGAAACAAGTAGTACATGAGAAAATATTTGATTGAAGAATCTCTTGGCTCTCCAATAAATATCCACATGAATTTTCAATTATTTTTCGCATCATGATAGTCTTAGGGTGAGCCAACCGGTCATGCCAAACCTCAAATTTATTTTGATTTGTAAACTTCTGATTTACAATAGTATATGTTTCAACTGTATTAATATACATGCAATACATTTCATAGGAAAAAGCAAATAATTTTTCCAATACTTCTTTTTTATTCAAGTTGAGTTTCGTGATATAAAGATATTCTATATTTCCTTCATTTTTTGTTTTAATATGGAACTCATTTAAACGAATATCCTTGAAACTCAATAAGTTTCTGTAAGACAGAAAAATATAATGCATTTTTAATATGCAACTTCGTTTCTTTCAGTAATAATATATTAACTTTTCTAGAGCCTTCAATTATATTTGTAGTATCATATAACATTAATTTCTCGCATTATTGAATATGAGAAGACAAAAATTAATACATTAGAACATTCACTTCAGGGAATGAAATAATGCTAGTTAAAATGATCACTTACATAGAAAAATCTCAATATTTTGTTTTAGTCTTCAAGAGACAATAAACCAACTAAGGATATTTCTTAATGTTTTTTTTTATAAAAAAAATATTGCTACTTCTGGAGCAAAATAGATGTATAAAAAATATAATATACTTTTCAAATTGAGAAATCATTATAAAAATGACATTCTTGTTATGTATCTTTAGACATCAATTTAATATCAAAATCTACACTAATTTTTTTTTATATCATCTCATGTATATTATTTACAAATAAATGCTTCATACAAAAAATATTAAAAACATATCTCACTAACACTTTATTGTATCATTTTAGGAAATGAATGATACAACACAATCATATATTCATTTGAAGAAAAAAAAATCATAACTTGTTTATGTCTTTCTTTATAAAAAAAAACAAGTGCATCTTTCTCATTATACTTATTAAAAAAATATCTAATAAAAATATATTTATGTCAATTCTAGGTTGACTTTAAGGAGAAAAAAAAATAATTCTAAAAATTAGGGAAATTATTCTCCTTATAAATGTTGTATCGAAAAAAATAAGGAAATAAACATTGATCATAATTTCATTAGATTCTAATATTTTTGTACAAATCACAATCAAATTATAACGTAATGATATCTCCATCAATTAAAATAATAGATGCATAACATTATAAAAATAAATAATACTAATTCTATTAATAGGATTTGAAATTAAACCCTTTTTAAGATTCAATGATGTAACACATAAGTTCAATTACATGACAAGTTGATTATTTCAATCAATTTAATCATGAACAATATCAAATTATAAATATAGGAAAACTCATAATCCTTTCAAGAAATCACACAAAACCTAAATAGGTTTAAGGACACGCTTCATTAGTCATAATATTTAAAAGTGTCTCAAATATCATTCAACATTATAATTATGACATTGACAAAATTATTTCACTTTCGATGGTGACCTCATTTATATCAAAGGATCAAACACAATGTAATATATCTATATCATTTTTCCACTTCTGGTGAAATGTATTTTATTTTTCACTTGTCATATTATTTTCTCACTTCTAGTAAGAAAATTTATCTTTCATTTTCATTTTTTTTCATCATTTTCTCACTAGAAGTGAGAAAAAAGTATTAAAATGTCTTTATTTGACAATGTCTTCTAGACCATTATAAAAATATTTTTATATATATTTTTTATTTTATCTTTAAAATCAATTATATTTAAATAAATTTCACAATCATAAAAATATAAATATTTTATCAAATTCATAATATGAAAAACATGATTGCATAATAATGACAAAATATATTACGTCAATGAAATATTGATATTTCTCACTTCTAGTGAGAAAAAATAATAAATTAAAAGAGATTGAATATTCTCTTTTGATAGCATCTTCTAGACACATTTCAAGGATGTATAATTTTTTTTTATATTTAATAGTGTCTTCAAGACTACTTTAATACATAACAATGTAAACAATACAAATATTTGATAAAATGTTTATTGTGGAAGATGAATAACTAACCTTGAAATATTTTTTTTGAAAAATATGATTTTCTTCATGAAAATTCTTTATAGCTTTGTCTTACAGTTAATAGCGGAAAGACTATCGTGCTGATAACATGTTGCAAAAGGAAGAAAAATAGAGAGAACAAATAAGACAATGTAAGATGGAGAAAAGAATCTGACTAGTGTATTATCTTTAGGAGAGGACTAACCTATTTATAAGTACATGTAGTAATTGAACAATTACACAATAAAGGGAATAATACATAACGGATATATAAATAGTAATGATTGATAATGAATATTGGCATCCACTAATTAAGTCACTAATTATTATTCATAACAGTCATGTATTTATTTATTTATTTTTATAAAATATACAACGAAACTCAAACTGTTGTGTGAAGGTTTCGCGAGGGATTAGCGTGGTATTCGCGAGGGAAGTCAATTCATATGCTTTGATGGATTTGCGAGGGTTTAGCAAGGGATTTGCGAATGACATATTTGCGAGGGTTTAGCGAGGGATTTGCGAGGGACCTCAATTGATATATTGCTAGAGAGTTGCGAGGAATTAGCGACGATATCACGAGGGATAATTGCGACGGAGTAGCGACAAAGTAGCGATGGAATATTAAATACAATTAGCGAGGGAATTTAGGTTCTACATTTGCGAGGCAATAGCGAAGAATTAGCGGCACAAATTTGCGACGGACTAGCGAAGCTGGTTGCAAGGGAAAAGCGAAGGAATGTAGCGAGGGAATTGCGAGGGATATTCATCCGTCGCTAATTAGCGACTTGAATTTAGCGAGGGAAAGATCCCTCGCAAATCCCTCGCTAGTCCCTCGCTAAACAGCGAGGGATCTTTCCCTCTCTAATCTTTGAAATTCTTGTAGTGAACTCCATCCTCATTAGGCATAGGATCAAGAGTTTGAGGCACATCACCTTTGAAGATCCACCTATTTTCTTGATTCTTCATCCTCATGTGATGAAAAGATGCTCTTCCAATCTTATTGGATGAGTACAAAATGATCTTCTTCTCCCCCGTGTGAGATCCACTCAATGGTACTAAAAAATTCTTGATAGTAACAAAGTATAAGGATAGGGACCATCCTCCTTTTTCCTTGCTTTCCAGATACAATCATTCACAACATATACCCAATTTATCTAAATCTTATTCTTAATTGCATACATAAGCATAAATTCATCTCTAGACATTTGAGCATGGTTATGCAACACAGGCTTAATCATCCAAGCAATAATAAAAGAAATAAGCCTATCATTCTTTTTCATACCACCAGCAAAAAACTTACTATAATTTGAATCTCAAGGTTCCTCTGTAAATCCTTGAAAGTGGTCATATCATTAAAGTCACCAAAGTTTGCACCCTAAGGTCTCTCTAGGCTTGTACCCTTTAGACCAATAATTGCTAGAAGGGTATGTTTGTCCAGCCTTACAAGCATTCCCCTTGCAGTAGATGTCAAACAATAGAAGACCCTCACCAAATCCAAGTATTAAGGACCTTGAAGTTCCAAAAACTTCTTCAGCCCTTGAAACTCCAACAAAGGTAGAAATATGAACCCCTCATTGGTGAACCATATTCCAGATTTAGAGTCATTGGTTGAATGATTATTCTCCCAGCTTACCATTCAAAATACTCTTTTTGGGTTTTCTCCTCTGGAAACCATTGGTTGACCAAAGCCTGCCTCTCAAAAGGTAGAGGTCTTTTACTCCTCATAACTTTGAGTTTTTTGGGTCTCTTAAAAGAAGAAGAAGCGATGGAAGAGTTTAGAAGGTGAGAGATGAAGAGTTTGAAGGTTTGTAGAAGGTTAGGGTTTGAAAGTGTGAGTAAAGTTCTTGAAGAATGATGTATATATAACGAGAGGTGTGAGTTTTAAGGGTTTTAAGTGTTAGAATATGTTTTAGAAGTGAAGCATCAAGGTTTTCCATGAAGGATTCGAACCCTTTGGATTTTGGCACGAGTAACTATCTGTTGCGGTGCTCATCACAACTGCAACAACTTGCAATTAAAATGTAATTTTAAATCACTGAAAATTTTGCAATGTAACAGTAGCATAATATTCGAAATACAACCATAATAGATCTGTAATACCATTTATTCCATTTTTGTGTCAAAATACATACATAGATTCAAATTTTAATCTGCTAATCTAATAAATTTGGTCACATGAGATGTTAAGAGAGGGAGAAAGATAACTAATGATAATTGGTTGGTGTGTTGGAAGGTGCATGATGCATTTTAGAAAAGAGAAAAAAGGAGTTTGGAATAAAAAAGTAAATAAAAAAAATATCTCATTAATTTTTATTATTATAAATTTATATATTTATATAACAATTTCACATCCCAATAATTATAATCTACATCGCAGAAGTTGCAATAATCGCAACCATAATGGCCGCAACTATAATGTAACTACGATCGCATCCACAACTTAAACCCATCAGTTAGAGTACTTCTTGTATTCTCATTAATTTCACTTGAATTTGTCTATATATATAAAAATAAAAAGTGATGCTGCACTTTTCCACCATGTCACTCATATCTTATTCTACACTTTTCTCTCTTTTCTTTCCATCTCTTTTTCAAATTGTAAGAGTTGTAAAAAAAATTGTTAGAATAACCTTTTTCTTTCAGTTTTATTTAGTACCCCCAAGTTCATCTTTAAACAACCATTTTATAGCACTAGGCCATAACAGATACAAACAGACAAATACAAGGTGTGAGGTTTAGAAACTAGTTCTTATTAATTAAAGGATACATAAACATTTGTATGAAATATGGGTCCAAAATGCTGGTTCATTTTTAGTTCAGTCTAATGACCTTTATAGTAAACAACGCAAATTCTAAAGTCACTACTTGTTCAAGAAAAGCAGACATGTATGGCATTATTGGATCTCCACAATACAGTCACTACACGCGTAACTATTCAAATAGCTAGCTAGATTAATTAACCGTTATAAGGTTTGTGGCAGAACTTCCAGTAGTAGCTTTATTTTCCAGCATATCAGCTGCATTCAAATATAAAAAATGGCACGTTATTATAAAGTTATAGAAGCATATCAAAATGGTTATTAATGTTGCTAAGCAAAGTGATGAACTAAAGCAACTGCCTATAGAAACTAGTAACAAACTTAAACAGACCATTTTCTAACCATAATAAAATGGGATCAGA